ATTTAATAGGGTTCTGGAAAATGGCAGGTGCCATGACAAGGAGAAGGAAATGAGTGGATACGGTCCTAGGACCCAAGCAACTTACAATCTGATGGAACACGGACCCGATTCTCTTCCAATCTCATTGAAGGCAGTATGCCTTAAGTGGAAGTGCCAAGTTCATAGGCGCATGTAGAAAAAGAACAGGTGACAGGAAAGGCTTTAGAGAGGGCTACAGACCTTACCAGCTACATCTTCCATGTAGGAAGTCTTATCCCATTTCCATGGCTGCCCTATGCAGTAGGCTGAGCACCTGGAAGGCAAATCTGCTTTTATATAGTGTATCTTCCCACACTCCTGTGCTTAATGTGGTGTCTGAATAAATTAAGGAGCTGAATAAATGTTTGCTGAGTTAACAAAGGGATGAATAAATGAACAGACAGAGTGGAGGTGGAAAGAAAGTCATTCTGGACAAAGGAAAGCTGGGGACAAGATTTATAGAAGATCTCAGATGACAGGCTTGGATGCTTCAGTTTATTTCTGTCGTCCATGTAGGTTTTGAGCCAAGGTGTGAGTTTGTGTTTGTGTTGTTTTGAAAGAGAATTCTGCCAGCAGCATTAAGAGGGCCCCGGAAGAAGGAAGGCTTTTTGGCAGCGAAACCAATTAAGGAAAGGGGAGCTTTGCCTCTCCAGACTGAACTGAGGTATTTTAGAAATGTGTCAGGTCAGATGATAATTTTGCAGATCTGGCTTCTTGGCCTGAAGTTTTCCCGGGTTGGGAATGATGCAATGGTATTAGCTCAAGGCCACTGGATGACTGCCAGCTCCATTAGGAAATTGTGCCTGTGGGGTAAGCTACATTTTCCATACTTTTCCAGGCTGGAAAATTTGCCAGATGGCCCATGTCAGGAGAATCTGTCATGTTTTGCAAGGCTGTCTTTTACCATCAAGTGAGAAGGTAATCTCTTCCAGACATGGAGGAGAGTGGACATGTCCCTGGGACTGATCGATGTGCAAGGGGCAAATGCCAGGGTGGGTCGGGCCCCCGGAGAATAAGATTAAGTGCCACTGGGCCTCTCACACAGCCTAGATGTTTAATTGACCCTAAGTCTTAGTTATATTCAAAGAGATCATTCAGACCTTATTTCCTGTTTCTTTGGCTGTAGTGGGGAAGAGATTGGGGCTCTGCGGGCTGAAATTTGAGCTAAGACTGTCACCTGCCTCCCAGTGTCTTTCCTGCAATGACCCTCCCCTTAATCCATACCCCCAGTCCTCTCAGTGTCACCAACTTCCCATGCTTTCCTTGGGATGACTCCTGAGAGCACTAAGAGCAATGGAGAAGATGTGGCTGTAGGGACCAGGGACAGTGTCCCCAGCTCCGGTTAATCCTGTTGGGAAAGATGTAACAGCCACAGCGTCGGTGCCTAGGCAGGTGTGAGCAGGCCACTGATACCACGTCCTGACCACATCGGCCAGAGTTGGCCCCACGGAACGGCAGCTTCAGCTTCTAGCTCCTAGTGGTAACTCAGCTGAGCGACCCAAAAGAGCCAGAGGGTCTCTCTGTGGATGCCAGAACTTAGGAATCTTCGGTCTCCCTTCCAGGCCACCCATCAAGGCTTCCATCCACCAAATGAAAGGTGACAACAGACAGGTGAGGAGTTCACTAATAAAAATGCTCATCGAGCTGGGGCTTCACTCAGGGTGTCTTAGAATACTCTCCTAGTACGACTTTCAAGAGAGTCTGAAGAAGAGAGCAGGGGTGCTGTTGCAGACCAGGGAGGCCACATCATGTCATCTCCACTAGAGTTTCACGGTCCCACCAGTCCTGCCCTTTGTTCTGTGCACATGCACAACCTGCATTGACAAAGTGCTATTTGAGGAAGGGTGTTTGATCCTCTTTGCTCTCTCCTACCTGCTGGCTGGGGGCCAAGGCAATACTGAGATAAGGGCAAGGCAGCGAGACAGAAGGAACCCATGGTCCTGATGATGAGAAATGAGACCACCTGAATCCACACAGCTTAACTGTCAGGACTCCTGTGTCAATATGACTGACTCTTCACCTAGAGAATTCTTGCCTGGGGAAGATAAGACTGTAAACCGATAAATAGCTTCACTGTTTGTTTCAGGATACTCATGAAAAATGATGTCTTCTAACAAAAGGTGGCTCATCTTGGCAAACAACTCCCCTCTCAGGAGGATAGGTTGCTCACTTTGGCAAACAGCTTGTTTATCAGACAACTGTTTACTTAACAAGACTAGAATCTTCGAGACCTTTGGCTTGTTGTGTCCACCAGGCCTCCACGACTACACCACACATTGGCCTGGTCCTTCTGAGGCCTCAGCTTTGAGAGACCTGCCTTGAACACTTAAGCTGAGACCCATGCACCCTGAAATGTCCCCCCTGACCTCCCCCAGCTGATGCCCCAAGAGTGTCTCCAGGCTGACTCTGGTCCAGGTGGAGCTCTCTCCTGCTGTTGTTGCTTCAATCACCTTGGCCTTCGTTTGGTTCATCAGCACATTATTCTGATGGTCCTTTGGGGGAGCTGGCAATTGATATTGGTGATCGAGGCACCATACCAGCCCTGGACCTCATTCACAGGTGAGGGACATACACTGCTATTTTGTCATGACACTTTTACTTTGCGGTTCTGGTCACCAGCCGCTAAAGCTGATCCCCTGACTTCCCTGCTTTCCCCTCTACACTCTACTCATCTTTATGCCTCACCCAGGGTCTGCCATATAGTAAGTGCTCTGCAGACATGTGCTAACAAGACAGAGACTGCTTCTTTTCATTTAACTCTGTAGTATGTCCCTCAGTAGAGTTTCTTGTAGGTTTTGGACACTTGCGCAATAAAACTGATTTAAAAACAAACATACCATAATTTATACATCTAAACAAGTGTTGTTTCCTTCAAATTAGATTCCTTGGGAGTCTGTTCTTGTATCCCAACGATACTACTATCGCTTGAGACATTTTCAAATACCTCTTTTGTAATTATGTCTTGCTTTGCCAGCCTCAGTGGTGACAGACCATCTTTTTTGTGTGAAAAATGTTTTATTATTGTTAATTACAAACATATACAACAGTGGACACAATCATACAATGAACAATTATCAACTTAAGACCAGTCTTATTTCATCTAAGCCTTTATTCCCCCTTCTCCCCACCTGGCTTATTTTGAAGGTAATCCTAGACATCACGTCGTTTCACTCCAAAATATTTCAGCATGTCCCTAAGAGACAGGGCTCCTTTGAAAAATTTTAGCCATAATACCATATCCCGCCTAAAAAATTAGTAATTTTTTTTAAAGATTTTATTTATTTGAGAGAGAGAGAATGAGAGAGAGCGAGCACATGAGAGGGGGGAGGATCAGAGGGAGAAGCAGACTCCCCGCTGAGCAGGGAGCCCGATGCGGGACTCGATCCCGGGACTCCAGGATCATGACCCGAGCCGAAGGCAGCCGCCTAACCGACTGAGCCACCCAGGCACCCCAAATTAGTAATTTTTTAATATCATTGTATGTTCAAAGTGTTTAAGCTCCCTGGTTTCATAACACTTTATTTGTGAAAATCAGGATGGAAATCAAGTTCATATACTGCAATTGGTCGAAGTCTCAGGTCTGTTTTTTCTTGAAAAGTTTTAATTGAAGTGTACTATATGCAGACAAAAGTGCAAGAGTCCTAAGTGTATGGCTCAGTGATCTCCCAATCTCCTTTAGGCCCTCACACACACACTTCCCCCCACCCCGCGTTTTTCCTTTGGAATTTATCTGATAAAGAATGTGTTTGTCATGCAGGGTTACCCCCAGCTGATGCTTGGGCAATTGCTTCCCCATGGTATCATTTGGCATGTTCCTCTGTTCTCTGCTCCCTGTAAATTGGTGGTTACACCTACAAGTTTATCAGATCAGGTCAGTTTTCGGCAAGACCAATTTCATAGGTGCTGCTGTTTACTCCTACCGGGAGGCTCATCATTCCTGGGACGTCTCTTTTTGAAAGCATCTTTTGAAGGTGGATGTGATTTTTGCTAACAGGCAAAAGCCAGTCGGAGCTGAGTGTAGTGAGCAGTGTGGGTGCTCAAGTTGGAAAATGATGGTTTGCGAAAAACAAGGTGTGATCAAGTTATCAATGACGTTCTTGTGTGGCTGCTAAACTGGCCCTGAAGGAAATTCCAAAGCAGTTCCGGAAATGGGCTGTGCGATGGCAGAGCATCCAATGTGCAGCCACCCAGGGTGACTAATGCAAAGGGCACAGCAGTGACACCGCCAGAGAAATCACGTGTGGGTGGCCGTGCGCGGTGGCCCTCTCCAGTCCTTCGCCCCCCTTAAGGACCCGCGTCTCAGCGTGCATCACACTCGTGCTTCAGAGCTGGCGCTGGAACTGCGCTGTCCCGCTGGAACGCAGCCCTCCCGGTCTCGAGGGGCTGACCTGGTCTCACGTCAGTTCCATTGCGGGGCCTGGACGTGTTGACAAGATGATGCTCGGTTCCACCCAGCCCCTCCCAAGCCCTGACACTCGCCTCAGCTGCATTACTCGGCGAGAATGTGGTCAGGGCGCTGCAGGGGTAGGCCTGCCGCTCCTGAGCAGTGCACAAAAAATGAGGAGGCACCGGACCTCCGGCGCCGGTCAGGCCTCAGGGCAGCGCCCTGGCCCCGGCCCCCGGCAGCCACAAAACCAGAAGGCCGGGGCGGGGACCGGCCTGCTCCAACTCAGCGGAACTTCCCGCCCAGCTCGCTACCCACTTTGGCATCTCGCTCCGCCCCTCGTCCTAGCCCCGCCCCGTGACGCAAACAGGGCGGAGCCAGCGGCCTCTAGTGAGACCAGCCTGTGCGTCAGGGCCTGCGCCAGCTCCGAACTCCTCCCACGCCCGCCGGGCCCCCGAGATGGCGCCTGCGCAGCGCGGCTCGGCCCGGGTTGTGCCTCCCCGCCCCCTCCCCTAGCAACCGTCGTCGCGCCCGCCTCCGTCCTTCGGCCGCGCTCGCGCACGCGCGGTCCTTCCGGCCGCCGGGCCCCGCCCTCCCCGTCACCCGTAACAACCACTCGAGCCTCGCCGCGCCCCTCCGGCTCCCGCCCCCCGGTCCACTCCCCGGAACCGGCCGCGGAGCTGCGGCCGCCGGCAGTGGAACGGCGACGGCGCCACGGAGCCGCCGGCATGAGCGCCCCCCACCGCCCCGCGTCCCGGGCCCGGCCTTTCTGACAAGAGGTAGGCGCGCGTCGCCGCGGCGGGCTCCGAGCGCGCCCCCCGCCCCTCCCAGCGCCGCGGGGCTCTTCGCGGCCCCTCGGCCGGGGAGGGAGGGGGCCCACCGCCCCCGCTTCCTCGGTAGCCCCCCGTAGCCCCCGTCTTCCCACTCCGGGAGCCCTCCCTGCGGGAAGCGGAGTTTGGGGTCCAGGCCCGCTCTCGGCTCCCCACCCCCGGGCTGGCCGGGGCTGGGGGCGCGGGGCCCGCCGCGCTGGACTCCCTGGACCGGCCCGAGGGCCCGGCCGCCCCTCCGCCTGCGCGCGGTGGACTCCCTGGCTCTGGCCATTGGCTGATTTTTAAGCACCAATTGTCATGCAATAGAGGCTGCCCTGGTCCAGGATGCCACTTGGCCGTTGTAAGTCCGGATTCCCACGTAGGACGTTTCTCTGGACCTGAGCATCCGAAGCTGGGCACTGGCAGGAGTTTAGAAGCTCATGAATTAGCAGGTTCCCCAGCGTAGTCACTCTGGGTTCTTCCGGGCAGTGGAATCCTGAATGGGTGTTAGAGTATCTTCGCCGAGCATTCTGCTTTTTAAGTCTCCCCCAACCCCCGCATCCCTTTTTATACCCTGTGACCAGCCTCCCCGTCTCTGGGCGATGCTCTAAAGTTAATTTTCCCAATTTTAAAATTGTGCACCGGCATTGTTAGGTTTGCAAAACGAAATAGAATGTGGTCCCCGCGCGTCAGGACCTGCCAGTCCCAGAATCGATATTAATGCCGGCTTCCAGTAGAGTGACATGGAGGACTCCGGAGTTTGGCTCTGAGTGTCAAGATTTCAGAGTTGGAAGTCCTTCGAGATTATCTCACCTCAAACCTCATCTTACAGAGGTGAAACTGAGTCCGAGGGAAGTCAAATGACTGGTTTGAGGTCACCGGGAGTAATTCTGTAACATGCCAGTGCTGTTGTCCAACATAACCTGTTCTTGCAGAGAGATATGCTAAACAAACACACCAGAGAGAGTTCCAGACCTGGTTAAATGTAATAATATAGATAAGAATCTTCTGAAATAAAATATATTTCCATAATTTTTTTTTAATTACAGCTAGACTTTGGGCTCCTTGAGGATATTCCCTTTTGTACATTTGAATATCCTCTGACCATATTCACATGAAGTAACATTCTTAATGATTATTCTCAGCAGGACAGGTAGGCTCTTTGGATTTATTTTTCTTCCTCACTTTTAAATAGGGAATCAAAGTCACGCAAAGGACTCCGAAAAAATTGTGTTTTTCAGAAAAATGCGTGTAGGCTGGCACCGGAGTGGGAATAGGTACCTTGTAGGAGGATTCCTTCCTCTGGGTCGTAGGCTCCAGCATTTAGTGGATTATTGACAGGTATCACAGCTGTTTGAGGCTGGAGGTTCCACCCAGCTGGAGTGCTTGGTGTTGCTGCCATTGGAAGACAGGTCTCTGAAATTGTAGTCTATGCAGTTAGAAAACAGGGATTGCCAAGTTTACTTTAAAGCTAGCTTTTGAGGAGTATCCCATAATTTGAAATACAATAGTATTTTTTTCCATTTTTATTTTTGTGTGTCTTCAGACTTAATATCTTGAAGTGCCATAATTTTTATTTGGCTTCTTGTAGAAGTTGTGGAAGAGAAAATGATTCAAGAACTAATAATCGGACCATATAACATTTCAGTGCTGGAAAGAGCTGGGATCCTGTACCCAGCCCAGCCCCTGGAGAGGCCCCAGGAGGCAGAGCAGAGCTGTTTCCCTCATGACACTTGGACTTCCTTCACCTTTTCTTACTGTCTAATTACCTTCTCCTTCCTTGTAGAGTCCAAGTGTCATCTTTGGGTTTTTGTGTGTAGAGAATTATTGAGGTCCCTTTCTACAGTTAGACTGTGGTATGATGAGTAAATGCAGACTTAATTTTTTCCAGACTTAATCGTGGTTTTTTTTAAATCATATATATTTGTGTTTTGCAGGTGTGAGAGGATTGCTATTGTGTTACAGTCATGGTGCAGAAATACCAGTCACCCGTGAGGGTGTATAAACACCCCTTTGAATTAATTATGGCTGTAAGTACTTTACATTTTAATTTAGTCTTTGGCTTTTTTTTTTTAAGTATTCAAATTTGATGATCTGTAAATGGATGTATGTTATAATTTGTTTCCATTGCTCCGCTTTTACTTATTCTGTTTTTATGCTTTTGATCCAGATCTAGAGTTCATGAAATGTTTTTAAACCATAAATCTCTAAAAATGAAAACCTGCATGTTTGTTTTTTACAAACGCACCTCCGGTTAATATGTGAATTTGAGTTAATTCTCTCTTTGAAAACACAGAAGTGCGATTCTGAAAATACTTCTTCTGGATTTTGGTCTTTTTGTTTGTTTGTTGAAGTAGAAAAGGGATGTGGAGAGTGGTTTTTTTCCCTCTGCTGCTCATTCAGAAGCGCGCTCTGGTTGTTAGGGTATTCACTTACATAGCAATGAGCACTATGGGATGGAGTTTAATTTAGATTATTCTAAGGCCTCTGCTGAATGAGTTTTTCCCCTTGACATCAAGTTTGTGGGGCATAGTAGAATTCCACAAACGGGGTAACTCAAGTCTTAATTTTCTTTGTTACTTATCTGCGGAGTTTGGCTGAAAATAAGCATTTCACCAGATGCAAAACAAATCTTTCCAAATCACTTTTAGAATATTTTTGGGTATTCCTTCTTCTCCTTTCTTTTCTGTGTTACTGTTAAGGTGTAATATAACCTGCGTACAGGAAATGCTTTTGTCATGGACATAACGATGAAAATGCCGAACTGGACCAAGATCAAGATCCAGAACATACCAGCCCAGCAAGAAATCCCACTTGCCCCCTCCCTCCCACCTCAAAGTTAGCCACTGCTCTGACTTCGCTGCTCTGACTTCGAACACCATTGATGAGTGTTGGCTGTTTCTGTTCTATATTTAACTAGAAACTCAGGTGGTGTTTTTGCATCTGGCTGCTTCTGCGCAACCTTGTTTGTGAGATTTATCTGGAGCAATATGGTTTTGAAAAATAACCCCCAAAACGCAAGTCCTCTCAAGGAAACAATTTAGATTTAGGAAATTTTTAAATTGAGACATAATTTACATACATTGAGATGGTCACGTTAACATTAGGTGTACAGTTTGATCAGTTTTGATGAAAGAGTGACCCACACCTCTGTCAGGATGCAGAACCTTTCCATCCAGTACCTCAGAATGTTCCCTTGTGCCTCTTCTCTGTCAGTGTGAGGTTTTGGGGGTTTTTCTTTTGGCACGGGGGTGGTGCTTTTAGTTCTGTATTACCTTTTTTTTTTGAAGATTTTACTTTTACGTCATCTCTACACCCTGTGTGGGGCTCGAACCCCCAAACCCGAGATCAAGAGTCGTGTGTTTGACTGATGGAGCCAGCCCGGCGCCACCGTGTTTCCCTTAAATACCACGACTGTTCAGTATTTTATGTTAATGGTTTATCAGAGAGGCTTGTTTCCTGTTTGCATGTTATGTGTACTGCTTTGGCTTTTGGTTGTGTGCAGCAAAGACCCACTCCAGAGAGCTTGAGAAAGGGGTATTGTTCGAGGGAACACATGTGGTGTGATGTGGTGATGTGAATCGCACAGAAATGCAGGAATGCGAGCTGGCTGGGCTGAGCTCCAAGAACTGGGCGTTGGAAGGTGGTTCCCGGCAGCTCTGGGGAACCTTGGCTGCAGTTGTCCCTGGAACTTCACCCCGTGGGACTCGGCCTTGCTCCATAGGGGGGAGCCTCTCTTCCCCGTCTCCTGCCAGTCTCCTGCCAGTCGGCTGCTTTGCTCACTCCTGGTTTGCCCTCCCCCGTGGCTTCAGCTCTGGTGCTGTTTTAGCTGTTCAAAGCCCCTCCAAGCCCTAGTCCAACTTTGTGGCATTTCTTGTTGCTTTCTTTCAGTTTCTAAGTGACCGAGTCTTGTCATGTTTCAGATTCTAGAGAGACTCGATCTGGGCATCTCTCCCCTGGAGCGAGGATGTAGGTTATTGGCCAGTCTGTGGATTATTTGCCCAGGGTTGGCGGCCTAACCCTTTTCAGTTGGCAGAGGCTGGCGGAGTTGGGGGAGAGGTGTGGGGAGCAGTGGAGCCCAGTGGCCCCCTATGAGGCTGAGAACTGCCCCAGGGGCTGGCCAGGCTGGGTCGGCAGGGGAACACAGGAACCAGAAGCCAGGGGTGGTGCGTTCTGTTCTCTAAAACATTAAGTATCATCTGAAAAGCTCAGTGCTACCCTGATTGTGTGAGGCAAAGGTTTTTTGGTCTCTTCTGCAGACACTAGATTAATAAAGAGGAGTTTTGACTAATGATCAACTTCCATATTTTCCTTACTTGACTATTTTCAAACTGGTGATGTTTGTCCTGCCCATTTTATACGTGGATTTACAGGAGAATTTGAAATTCAAGATCTGAACCATCCCCCCAGGCTTTTAAAATTAACTCATTTTTAAATTGCTTTTGTTTTGAGGCAAGTAGTCATTTTCTTTCGGGTTGTGGAAAGTATTTTTTAATCTGAAAATGAAATAAGTTCTTCCAGAATTAGATAGAAGCTAGAGTGTTTTAAGTCCTTAGTGATTTTTGTGTGGTGTCATTGGCCACTTTTCGGACTGAAATTGTACGTCATAAAATTCTCTTTATTTACCTTGCTTTATTATTATTTTTTTCATTGAGAAGAAACAGTAGTATAATAGAATAAGTCTGGGAATATTCTTTGCAGTTCTTCAGAGCGAGGAGAGACCCAATTAAAGCAAGAACAGAACTATAGCATCAAGGGATTTATTTTTTTAATTAAACTTTTAATTTCAAGATACTTTTAGATATACATGCAATCATAAGAAATAATACAGAAAGATGCCATGTACCCTTACCCATTTTTGTCCAATGGGAACATCTTGCAAAACTATAATACTGTATCACAACCAAGATGCTGATATTCATACAGTCAAGATACAGAGCATTTCCGTCCCCACAAAGATCCTCAGGTTGCCCTTTTTAAGTAAGCTCCACACGTAGTGTGGGGCTCGAACCCGCAACCCAGAGCCCAAGAGTCCCATGCCCTACTGACTGAGCCAGCCAGGTGCCCCCCAAGGGAAAGGGTTTGAGAGAGCGCCACAGCAAGTGCTGGGTAGTGGTGGGAGTGCCGGGGCGGTGGGGTGGTTGATTGGAGGTTCCAAATCTTGCTTCATGGCGGGTCTCTGGGGGGAGGAGACTGTTGGGGAAAATGCCACTCAGTGAGAACATGGCCTTGTCTGTCAAGCAGAGGTGTGACTGAGTGTAGTATTGCCAGAAAATGGTTCAGGTGGAAATTGCCTACTATAAATAGCAACACAGTGGACATCAGATTTGTTAATTGCATTTGATTGAGTTAATGAAAATTTATCATTTGTTTTGGGATCAGTATACCCGTAGCACGAAGAAATCTTGTTGATGTTCCCATTGACTTGTAAATGGCAAACAAGCAAGATGGAGGTAGAGTTTTCCAGTGGGCGCTTGTAGCATTTTAAGGGCTTGCTTTTGTGAGACGTTTGCCCAGAAAACAGCACGTTAGAGCTTCAGTGAGCGGAGAAATGGCCCGAAAGCCCCTGTCTCACCTCAGAGGGTGAGGAGCCCGAGGCGCACTTAGTGGCAGAGATCTGCTTCCCAAGTCCGTCGTTCCTTGCACCCTGCGGGGGCTTCCGAAGGTTCTTGTTCCCCAGGATGCCTCTGACTTGTCCAGCCTCTGCCCGGGCTGTTGGGAGGCATGTTGAATCCCTGAAGGACACTTAAAAGATTTGGGGTCTTGCCCAGGCGGAGCGAGGGGATCCCACAAAGCAGGAGCTTGGCATGGCAGGGAGGACTCTGACGCGCTTGCGGGAGAGTGTTTCACGTTGACATTTCTTGGGGGAAAACGTTTTAAAACGAAACATTTTCAGGCACAGCTTTCCCCCTCCTGACGTCACAGGCCTCTTACTACCAACCCGAGGAGAGGGGTGAAGGAGGTAGGGAGCGGGTGGAAGAGAGGCGTGGGAGGGCGACCAGGAGGGGTCCAGTACCTCTGGGTGCGGGGGTACCTCCGGCTGTGGGTGCGGGGAGAGGAGAAGGCCTGCCGCTGTCTCTGCAGTGGCCCAGGGAGCTCTGCGCCAGCATGCACAAGTGGGGCGAGGACTGGCCTCTCCTCCCTTTCCTCCCGAGGACAGCTGTCGTTTTGACCCGGTGGAGCGCGTGCTGGGAGAGGCCCCGCCGCATGCCCCGCTGCCTCCCGCGCCGGCACGGTGCGCCCGGGCCCGCTCTCAGGAGCACCGGCCTTCTTCCAGCCTCCCCCCGCCACCATCTGTGGCCCAGCAGACACAGCCTCTGATTGTGCCCTCGGGTCCCCCGTTTCTGTTCCTTTCTCTCCTGGCACTGCCCGAGTAAGTTGTTTTCTTGTTCCGTCTTGTACGCCTTCAAGTCACCCCGCGTTCTGCTGCCAGACGCTGTGTCTGCGTGGCAGTCCCATTGGGGTGACCTCTTACTGTCTCACCTCCTCTAAACTCCCGTGCTCTTCCTCGAGGACCTTCCTGTCCTCCCTTTGTGAAGTAAGTAACCTTACTTCACAAATATGCATTTTTAAATCTATTCTGTGCTGTTCTGGTTGCCACACAGTGTTTTTCCGGCCCTTACACCATTTTGACACTTCCTTCCTCGCCTTAGCTGCTTGCTTTTCCCCGTCTGTTTCTTTGAATCTCGGTCCTGCTAACCTAGCTTCTTCCCCGGGCCTCTGAGGGACCGTCCGTGTCTCTCTCCCTTTCCTTGACTCCTTTTTTATCAGGGTCGTCAGGGTTAGCTACTTCCCCTGCTAACTAGAGTTTCTTTTATTCTCAGGGTTCCATACAACTATTGTCTATGTTCCTCAGGGGCAGTGACTTTGCAGATTATTTCCCCTATTCCCTCAGGTGTTGGCCCTAAACCCGTAGTAGGCTCTTGGATTGCACTTACTTGGTCAGCTGACGTCTGTGCACAGGAACTTTGCATGTGAGGACTTGGGAAGTGGGTCTGATGGAAACTCAGATCTAAAATGTAACTCTGTG